AAACATAATCGGGGCGAACCGGGATTCGAACCAACAATCATAGGTTTCTGGCGTGCCCAAGGGACGCAACTCTGCACAGCGAATCGCGGCGCCTTAGACGACTGGGCCACCCGTGTCCCCCTTACATATAGGGTATATGTAGTTACAATATGTGGGCCCAATTACAACTTCTCCATCCAAAACTGGCCTGGAACATGTTGATGCGGATGCTCTCTCCAGACCACAGACTCCATTAGATCCTCCACAACTGGACCAGGTGCAAGTGGACTCAAAGCCATCTGCAATTCGCTCAAGACACCGAGAGTCTTGTGTCTCAGCCGGTAATGTCGATGGTGATGACGATGTGGTGGTCGGTGGTGACGATGTGGTGGTCAGTGATGATAAGTGTGAAGGTGAGGTGAGGTGAGGTGAGGTGAAATGGGGTTTAACGTCGCGTCCAAGATTATTGCACTTATATAGCGACTTGCATGCACGTGTGTGTTTGTGTGGCTGCTTGTACTAGTCCGGACTGATGCCGATTTAAAGTGCTAGCTCACTAAGATACCATGCCGCAGTTTAACATGAATACCCCACTCAGACACAGTATACTGACTCCGAGCCGACCAGTCCTTGTTTTAGCCCCTTAATGCCGAGCGCCAGACAGGGTAACAACAAGTACAATCTTTTAACGTCTTTTTGTATGACGCGGCCCGGGATCGAACCCTGGACCTTCCGCTCTCCGGGCGGACGCTCTACCACACGACCACGGAGGCGGTCGATATGTGTGAAGCCAGTGGTAGAGAAGGAGGATAGCTCAGGGTAAGGACCATGCCCTGGCTACTATCACTGGACACGTAGGGACAAGACAAGGCGCGACCGAATACAGTTTCCAGACAATGCTATTGTCACAGCCCTGGTCAAGATACATCAGCAGCTATGACTGTAGAGAGGAGATCCAGAAGGAGGGGTGGGGGTGGGTGGGTGGGTGTGGGGTAGGGGTACAGGGATTCTAACTGCTAGAAGATTTCCATTGGTCAGCATTGTCACATGGCATCCCTTGGACTTTGGAGGCATGGAATGAAGGTCAGCGACACGTTCTCGTGGTGACAGGTCATTTTAACCGAAATGCTCAGGTTTGTTCAACAAAGGACCTTGAATTCTTCCTCGTCTTATTTGGCTACCCCAGTACCAAGTATTCTTCCTGGTCCTATTAGGATACCCCCGTACCAAGTATTCTTCCTGGTCTTATTTGGTTACCCCAGTACCTAGTATTCTTCCTGGTCTTATTTGGTTACCCCAGTACCTAGTATTCTTCCTGGTCTTATTTGGTTACCCCAGTACCAAGTATTCTTCCTGGTCTTATTTGGTTACCCCAGTACCAAGTATTCTTCCTGGTCTTATTTGGTTACCCCAGAACCAAGTATTCTTCCTGGTCCTATGTGGTTATCCCAGAACCAAGTATTCTTACTTGTCCTATTAGGATACCCCCGTACCAAGTATTCTTCCTGGTCTTATTAGGATACCCCCGTACCAAGTATTCTTCCTGGTCCTATGTGGTTACCCCAGTACCAAGTATTCTTCCTGGTCCTATTAGGATACCCCCGTACCAAGTATTCTTCCTGGTCTTATTTGGTTACCCCAGTACCTAGTATTCTTCCTGGTCTTATTTGGTTACCCCAGTACCTAGTATTCTTCCTGGTCTTATTTGGTTACCCCAGTACCAAGTATTCTTCCTGGTCTTATTTGGTTACCCCAGTACCAAGTATTCTTCCTGGTCTTATTTGGTTACCCCAGAACCAAGTATTCTTCCTGGTCCTATGTGGTTATCCCAGAACCAAGTATTCTTACTTGTCCTATTTGGTTACCCCAGTACCAAGTATTCTACCTGGTTTTATGTATTTACCCCAGTACCAAGTATTCTTCCTGGTCTTATTTGGTTATAAATGTCGACAAGTAAAGAGTGCGTACGAGAACGTTTCAAATATGAACTGCTTTAGCATTTGGTACAAGCCTTTCAGATTTCTTTGTGAATTCGTGGACATGATAACACATGATAACACATTTACAAATGACACCAATCTGTCCCGAAATATGCCTGTATCCATTCTAAATAGGAAAACATTTACAAGAGGAATCCCACATCAAGACACAAGTGTGACAGTACACATGGACCCGAAACATTAATTTTACAACATCGACGCAATGCAATGATCTGTCAGCGGAAATCGTATTTTCTCTAAAGATCATTTTCCCCAAAACGTATTTTTTGTGTTTGTTACAGTTTAGACCGCCTCCGGGGTCTAGTGGATATAGCGTCTGCCTTGCGCTCGGCATTAAGGGACTAAAACAAGGACTAGAATCAGTATACTGTGTCTGAGATGGGTATCCATGTTAAAACTGCGGCATGGTATCTCAGTGGGTTAGCACTATAAAAGCAGTATTATTCCGGGCTAGTACAAGCAGCCACACACACACATGTGCATGCACGTCGACATATAAGTGCAATAATCTTGGACGCGACGTTAAACCCCATTTCACCTCACCTTACCTCACCTTGTTTGAGTTTTGTAATTGGATCAGGAATTCAAGATCATACACGTGTTGGACCTCTAGATAATGGAACAGCTATATGTGAACGTATTTGACATTGCAGTGTGTTTTTCCTCGTCAATACGATGTAGCATCTATATATGATAGGATGAACATTAAACTAACTACAAGGTGCTGTACATTTAGCATCATCATCTGGGTGGGTCCAAACCTTCCGGATGCAGTTATGGTTTGTGTGAGCTACTCGCAATAATTCATGGCGCAAAACCTTCCAGATTTACAAGAGTATAAAGGATTAGATTTCCCGGGCGCAGTTATGGTTTATGTTAGCTACTCGCAATAATTCATGGCGCAAAACCTTCCAGATTTACAAGAGTATAAAGGATTAGATTTCCCGGACGCAGTTATGGTTATGTTAGCTACTCGCAATAATTCATGGCGCAAAACCTTCCAGATTTACAAGAGTATAAAGGATTAGATTTCCCGGACGCAGTTATGGTTTATGTTAGCTACTCGCAATAATTCATGGCGCAAAACCTTCCAGATTTACAAGAGTATAAAGGATTAGATTTCCCGGACGCAGTTATGGTTTATGTTAGCTACTCGCAATAATTCATGGCGCAAAACCTTCCAGATTTACAAGAGTATAAAGGATTAGAATTCCCGGACGCAGTTATGGTTATGTTAGCTACTCGCAATAATTCATGGCGCAAAACCTTCCAGATTTACAAGAGTATAAAGGATTAGATTTCCCGGACGCAGTTATGGTTTATGTTAGCTACTCGCAATAATTCATGGCGCAAAACCTTCCAGATTTACAAGAGTATAAAGGATTAGATTTCCCGGACGCAGTTATGGTTTATGTTAGCTACTCGCAATAATTCATGGCGCAAAACCTTCCAGATTTACAAGAGTATAAAGGATTAGATTTCCCGGACGCAGTTATGGTTTATGTTAGCTACTCGCAATAATTCATGGCGCAAAACCTTCCAGATTTACAAGTGTATAACGGATTAGATTTCCCGGACGCAGTTATGGTTTATGTTAGCTACTCGCAATAATTCATGGCGCAAAACCTTCCAGATTTACAAGAGTATAAAGGGTTAGATTTTCATTTTTTGTGCATTTATCGAAGATAACAGTCACAAATTTATGGAATCCTAGACGGGACATTGTCGTATTGTCGAGCTTTAGTTAATTTTGATACTTTGGGCTTGTTTTTGTAAGGGTGACAACGCGACAATGTCCCTACAAGGATTCCATACAAATTGTATCAAAATCGCTTCACGAGAATGGCGACTGTATTTTATTAGGGTCGAATCTACAGATTTAATGTTGGTGATCAGCTTTTGAATATTTTGTCGTCAGGACAAATTCCAACTTTATAATACTACATACAGGTCCAGTGGTCGGATAACTTAAAAAGACACCCGCACACACAATACTCTGAAACCTTTGATAATGGGCCTCAAAATATCTAGGATATCGGCCTCGTAGGATACATGTGTTATAACCAAGACACATCACCAAGAAAAACATGGACGCCGTTACAAATCTCACGTCAATAAATATTCTCCTTGAAGAGCTCTTTAAATTTAATGACAGTCCGAGACATGGGAGTTTACGACATATCGTTTTAAATGTTGCAATGCGTGCACTGACGCGATGTCTCAAGGTTTCCAGGAGAAAGTAGTTCGGATCAGAAGTCATTCCTGCTGTAATCGATCTGTAATCAATTTTGATTCCGCGGCAGCCTATCGGAATCTCGGAAAATGAAACGCATACTTTGTAAGTTTGTTTGTTGGTGTTTAACGCCGCACTCAGCAATATTCCAGCTATATGACGGCGGTCAGTAAATAATCGAGTCTGGATCAGACAATCCAGTGATTGACATCATAAGCATCGATTCACGCAATTGGAATATGATGATATGCATCAACCAAGTCAACCGGCGTTGTGGAAAGTGGGATGCACATAAACCCGTATTTAGCACACAGATTCAACATATTTTTTAAAAAAAGAAATGATGTACGTAACAGTTTTCTGTACATATTTTATTTTGTCGGTAATTTAACAAATCGAATCCTTTTCTCAATGTTTTTTAGACTTTTGGGGGGATTCAGGAGTGGGCAACGAGATTAGTCATAAATTAAATAGTTTGGGGGATGCGGGACTCGGTGTTGGCGGGGTGGGTGTGTATTGGCAGCCTCATTATAAGTAACGTCTTCTAAAGGGCGGTTGTAGTTTATTTTCAAAACACAACAATATGGGTTCTATCTCTCATTTTGTTTCATTGAAACATGTTAGGTATATTCCAAAACAGTTCTCCGACCATAACAAGCCGCCATGTTAGACAAGTAAAGACATTTTGAAGACCAAACAGCACCCACTTTCAAGGCTATCCGATGGGTTTGTCATATTATGTAGAAATACAAATTTATAATATTTGTATCTTATAATATCATATCTACCTGATTTCTCGTTCATGTCCTGTAGTGTGTAGTTTGGTGTTAACGCTGAATATGTAAGTAAATCCTCCCGAAATGTCGAAACGATGACCTCACACAGTGCGTTATCAGTAGTCACGTGACATGGACTTTGAACAAGCAGTTGTCTAATGATACCGCCACAGACGTTAGAGGTGGGCCCGGTCTTGTTGTTACTGTTGACGTCAGAAACACGAGCCAAGTGAATACCCTAGACTTAATCGGCCCCTCCCTCTTATGAGATCAATATTATTACTCCGAGACACCTACTATTGTTCGGTATGTTCCGATTGCCCAAAGTATATACCCTTACGTTACATCGTTCCTTTTTAATTTGTTTTATTTCAAGGGTACATTTTGAGTGATAACTGACTTCATTGGGACTTAAACCAAATCTAGAAATGGACCGCGTTTGTTTACATACGACGATTGATAGCTATTGCTAGGAGACTGGCATGCAGCGTCTGACTAACTGATGTCACAAGACTGGGTGTTTGGTTACGTGCGACAAATGTAATCCGCAATTAGGTTCTGTCCAACTGCGTGCTTAAATCAGTTCGTGTCGGTTTGTTTACATTGTTATTTATCATCGGGTATTGTCATGACGTACCCAGGGTTGTCAGTCGTTGCTCGGCTTCATTTTTCTGATAATAAACTGGCATTGTATCTTTTTGATATTTTTGTTGTTTTTTAGCGCCGCACTCAGCAATAATCCAACTATAGGAAGGCGGTATGTGAGCGAGTTAAAATTAAACGTCGCATAGGCATTATTTCAGCCATACAGCGACCATGGTATGTATATATTAGACTCTGGACCAGACAATCCAGTGATTGACATAATTAGCTTAGATCTACGTATTATTGGGATACGAAAACATGCATCCACAAAGTCAGCGAGCATGACCATCCGAGCCATATATACCCTACCGTCGGTAGCTGAAGACCAATTCTACCCTGGAATCTGCACAGGATTCTAGCGATACGAGAAAGCGCAACGTCGACCCACTGCTATGCATATCGTTGTTTGTTTGTTGTTTAACGCCGCACTCAGCAATATTCCAGCTATATAACGGCGGTCTGTAAATAATAGAGCCTTGACCAGACAAACCAGTGATTGACATCATGAGCATCGATCTACACAATAGGGATACGATGACATGCATCAACCAAGTCAGCGAGCCTGACCACCCCATCCCGTTAGTTGCCTCTTACGACAAGCATGGGTCGCTGAAGACCTATTCTCTACCCGGATCTTCACGGGTTGCAAATCTTTTCTGCAGTAGTGTGGAATGACATGAGGATATTATTGACGAGTGCTTTATAGACTGTCCATATGTCCCCTTTGGCTAAACATCCTAAAGAATAGGTTCTAAAAAACATCGATTTTGTGTCGCTGAATTCCTGAAATTTTCACTCGATGCCACAGTCACGTGTTTTTTTAAACAGACCGACCAAATGATATACCCCTTAGTCAGAAATAAAATGGTTGAAAACAAAAAAGCAGATAAAAAATGAAAACTGACCTTTATGACATGATAAAAAATCGTGACCTGACGTGAGGTTAGATATGTCAGCGGCGAATATGATAGTGTCAAAGATAAAGACGCTGAAACATCGCCGATGCAAACAGTTCAACCAACATTATACCAGTAGTAACGATGTGTTACTCCATCATGAAACACCTGCGTGACTCTTTCAGTTCTCTGATTGGAAGCCTTCTATCCACGGTCTGTGTGGCGACAGTCGCACGTAGGTTTTGCGCACATGAACTCGATGATAGCGTGTAATGCATAATATATTCGTATAGAAAAAAACACACCCTCTATACATATAATCTATATATAGAGAGGGGTGTGATTATTTCTATAGAAATATCATGCTATACACGCTATACACGCTTCAATGATTATCCAGTGTATAGCATTATGATTCTGTGATAAATACGTTGTATTCATTCCCTACCATAGCTCCCAGTCCAGTCTCGAAGGCAGGGTGCTATACTTTTTTGCCCAATCAAGTCACTGCCACGAGAAATTGTGCACGTGCGAAGTTGGCGATAGGAGATGGTGACATCGCAAATGGGTCCATGGTATTTATCGTAACACAATGAAGATAATATTGTCGAGCAAAAGAAACCAAACTATATGTCGGGCGTTACTAAAAGGAAGATCAGATATTTTAGCGTTTGTAATCATGAAATCAACAAATAGATAGTAATGCGACCGGAAGGACATGGGGCGTATATATTATCAATTTGCAGCCACTGTGAACACATTCAATATGGTGGAGTCAAGGCGTTCGGCATTAATATTCTTTACTCAGTACTGATGCAGGTCTCTGACGTTTGCCACTTCGGTGAAACCCACGAGCACGGGTATGGTGCTGACAAACCTAGAAACATAATCGGGGCGAACCGGGATTCGAACACGCAATCATAGGTTTCTGGCGTGCCCAAGGGACACAACTCTGCACAGCGAATTGCGGCGCCTTAGACGACTGGGCCACCAGTGCCCCCCAGTCTTACACTACTAATAAAAACATAGCTTAAATACTGGGATTATGCAGTGGACATACTGCACATTCACCCCGACCCTGGGGTTTGACGTGGATGACTTTACTATGGAATACTGTAAGGGACATTCTCGCGATCTCGCATTCTCGCGATCTCGACCTTTGGAAACGAGGTAAATATGCCCAAAACACGAGAATGCGAGATCGCGAGAACGCGAGATTTGGCCAAAATCTCGCGTTCTCGCGATCTCGCATTCTCGTGTTTTTGGTACATAGCACTTTTTGTCAAAAGTCGACAACGCGAGAATGCGACATTTGGACATGATGCAAAATCTCGTAATCTCGCAATCTCGACTTGTCAAATTAGGCCACAAAAACACGAAATCGCGAGAACGCGAGAATGCGACATTTCATTTTCTCGCGATCTCGCGTTCTCGTGTTCTCGCGTTTTTGACGCTGTCCGTGCGCATGCGTAATATCACAAGGTCAAGGCCCATGCGCACGTTAGAAGTCCTTTGGTCATGCTTCTTTCGTGCTCTTCATTCTCCAAGTAGCATTTAGCAAACTTATGACTTGAGCTTGAAAATGCTATGTAATTTACATACACAAAGTCTGAGTCATCTCCCGTTGTTACAGTTTCCTATGTTCTTTATGATAAAACCCTCAACATGCTCAATATAATTTAACCAAAGAAATTGTGTACATGAATGTCCAATGATAGTGAAAACATTAATGTGTCCGAAAGCTGGAAACAAAACTATTACCGTCAGTGAGTGAGTAATATTGCTTAAAGCCGCACCAGCAGTACTACAGTTACAGAAATAATCACAGGCCAGTGAGTTTCTCCATGAGGCAATGTTATACACGGCTAGCATATTCATGAAAGGCAAAATTCTCATAGACCAATTTGAAATACAAAATTAATTATCATATTTTCATCCGCTCCAACCTGACTACAAAACATCCCGCTTTTCATTATTTTATAGTTAAAATGGATAAAATTATCATTAAACCGCCCGCATGTTATCATAATGAGCGGGCCACTGTTAAAGAAATAAACGACGAGTGGGAGTACAATAAAACACTGCAGGGAGAATAAACCATGAGGGGCTAGTGTTTTATTGTACAATAAACAACAACCACGAGTCGTTTAATGATTATATGATATATCAACATTATGTACAGCCTCTTTTAGGATGTTGATAAAATGTACAAGGTTTAAAAATATTTACCCCTATTTAAGGCGGGTATTTCCCGCATATGCTCACACAATCCTCAGGTCGATTACACGTACCTTTTCTCCCAAAACCGATTGTCATATTGTAACCGGGGATTGTGAAGAAAAATACAATTTCAAACATAGGCTACGGGTGTGAGTGTTTATTGCCAGAGTAGATAATGACATCCTTTAATGTACAAAACAATAACATTATAAAAACAATACTGCATAGGTTTCATACACATACATATTCACACAATCATTCAGTTCATATAAACATACGTCTATATTCTGTACATGAACATGAACTTAATAATCAATGATATACAAAATCATTATCTTAACCCTATAATAAACAAACAATTCATCAAGGGCGATAACTCGATCCCGACATCACTCATAAGATACAATATAAACCTTGTCCATGTTGTAAAATACACTTAACATTATAAATACAATTACCACTTTCTTGAAACTGCTGTATTTATTCAGTAACTCACCATATATTTGGCACGATACACTATTTACAATTCATATTTCGAGACACGACAAACATGTAAATTACCCGTACCCTGTGGGTGACACTGGGATGTTTATCGTCTTCATGCAGCCGCCATTACGATAGAAGTGCCACAACATCCATGGAGAGCAACCTGACGGTCACTTCCCTCTCACAATTAACGTCGTCACTCACTGCGTTATAATGTTACAAGATCACAATCGAATCATCAGAAATGAGGTCATGATTAATTGTACAATACATCCCGCTTCGTTCTTCGATGTTCTTAGCGATTAAACGCGTAGTCATCTATAGAGTAAGTGCGAGAGTTGGGTTTAACACTGCTTTTATCAGTATTCCAGTTATATCACAGCGTGTCAGCTTAATATGAGAGGAAAGCCCGAAGTGATGCAGGTCTCAGACGTTTACCTCTTCGATGAAGCCCACGAGAACGGGTATGGTGAAACAAGAAACATAATCAGGGCAGACCGGGATTCGAACCCACAATCATAGGTTTCGGGCGTGCCCAACTTACGCAACTCTGCACAGAGAATCGCGGCGCCTTAGACGACTGGGCCACCCAAATGAGTGTTTATATATTTGATGTCAGACCGCCGTCATATAGCTGGAATATTGCTGAGTGCGGTGTTAACAACAAACAAACAAAATCTTTCTGAAAACTACCATTAGGCATCCATGTTGGTTATTTGACTGTTAGTTGTCAGACAATATTTGTCAAATTCAGTCAGTTCACAGGCAAGAAAGGGAGCGTGTTCTTGACTTTATTATGTTACCAGTCTACATATATATTTCTGTATAATCAAAAGACTTGGAAAATGTGCATTCTGACATTGTCAAAAGTCACGTGATTTTGAGCAGCCATTTTGAAATAAACTGCATTAATTTGCAAAG